ATCTCAAGGGGTTGAGGCCAGTAGACCAGTCATGTTACCTATATTAAAAGAGGTTCTTTGGAGAAATGGTAAAAGCCAGGAATTCAAGGCTTCATAAAGAAAGAGGACTAGAAAAGGAAAAGGGGAAAGAAAAATGATTTTTTCCTCCTTCTTAATTGCTCTGATAGCAATTTGTTTGAAATACGAACAGCAACGTGGTGTGCTATAGCACAGATCTTGAATGTCTCCTGAAGGCCCTGTGCTAAAGGCCTGTTTCCCGGGGTGGTAGTACTGAGAGGTGGTGAAGCCTTTGGAAGGTAAGGATTCTAGGTCATGAGGGCAGAGTGGGCCCCCAGTCCTTCCTCGATTTTTCACTGCCTGGTTACAGGGTGGGCAGCTTTGTTCTGCCATGCACTCCCACCCTGATGTGCTGCCTTGCCATGCACCAGCTGACTGGACTGGGATCTCTGAAATTGTGAGCCAAAAAACCTTGCTTTCCTTTATGATTTTACGTTATTGCTTGTGTCTAGATGTCTTCCCAAAGCCTCATGAAGTAGTAGGGGGTGCTGTTCAGAGTTGGCTGGATCTAGAGTGTGTGGCGCTGGGATCAAGGGTATGTGATGACCAAATCAGTCCACTGATTGATTGGTCTGGCATAGGTCTGACTAGGATTAAGGGTGCAAGTGTTACATCCACACTAGGGTGGGTAGCCTGCATAAGATACAAGGGAGAGAAAGCGGGCTACTGTGCTCTTGCCTGCCTGCTTGCCATGAACTATTTCTCCCTTGTGATGCCCCTCTGCCGTGCCACCCTGCCTTGGAGCCAGCCAACTATGGACTGAAACCTCTATAACCTGTGAGCCAAACAAACCTTCCCTCCCTTAACTTTGGGTGTTGGGTACTTTGTCTCAGCAACAAGAAAAGTAACTAAGGCATTTTATTTTCTTGTTATTTGCTACAGTGGCAGAAAAGTACTAACAAAGTGTTTTTAATTAATTATTACACCTTATGATAAGTGAAATAAACAATAGCAGTGGTACAAGGATGGCAGAGAGAATCAGAGACATTTTGTTATTCCAGGGCTCTTGTACTACCTGGGAGGTGACTGTTACTTTAAAGCGAACTTGACTCACAGAAACAGAAAAGGGTGATTAGCAGGAATTTGGGAGGTGGGAAGGTATTGATCAAAGGGCATGAACATGTAGATGATAAGCTCTAGAGACCTAACTTAGAGCATGGCCTATTATTACATAACTAATGTATTATCTAAGTACGCTTGCTGAAAGTAGATCTTTATTATCATTATACACATATGAAGGTAACTATGTGAGGTTAATTAGCTTGACTGTGGCAGTGATTTCACAATGCATATGTATATGTCTTAGTTATTTTTCTCTCATTGCTGAGACAACCTATCCAATGCCTGAAGTTAAAGGGAGGAAAGGCTTATTATCTCCCAGGTTATAGAGCTTTCAGTCCATAATTGGCTGATTCCAAGGCAGGGTAGTGTGGCAGAGGGGAACAGTTCATGGCAGCAGAAGACAGCAAAAGCAACAAAAGGGGAGGGAAGGGGACAAGCCTCCTCCTGTCCCTTATATTGTATGCAGGTTACCAGCCCTAGGGCAGGTGTAGCACTCACACCCTTAATCCCAGCACAGGACCATGAATCAGTCACAAAGTCTAGATTCAACCACCTCTGCAAAGCCCCCTCGCATGACTGCATGAGGCCCTGAGTGGGGGACATCTAGACATAAACCATAACAGTATACATGTGTCAGAACATGTTACACACCTCGAACATACACATTTCCATTAATTACACCTCAACAAAGATGTGAGAAAGGGGAAGAAAGTGGATCTGGATAAGTTGCAAATATATATTACAAACTCTAGAGATGTCCCCAAAGTATAACTGATATGCTAAGAAAATAGAATACAATGAAATGTTCAATAAAAACGAGTGCTGTGTATAGTGGCACAGCTTGTAAGAGCCAAATCTTGGCAACAACCCAAGTGCCCATCAGCTAGTGAATGGAAAAGAAAATGTGTTGTTGTTTTTTTTAATACAATGAAGTACTACTCTGCCATAAAGAATGGCAGAAAGTATGCTCAAGATATTTCTAGGAAAATGGATGCACCTTGGGTCCATACTCTTAAGTGAAATAAATCAGACACACATGTGTAAACATCACATTGCTTCTCTGGTGTGAGAAACACAAAGTGTAAATAAGGACTAAAATGTATAATAGGTACTGTGAAATAGGAAGAAAATGTTCAAATGGGGAGGGGAATGAGGGAAAGGGAAGGGGAAAGGAAAAAAGGGGAAAGTAAAAAAAGAGAAAAGAAGGAAAATGTGGAAACAAAGCTTTTATAAATGGGGGGAGGTAGGGTTGGAGGGAGGGGAGGGAGATGGGGGAAAACAAGTTATATCACGTACAGGTACAAATTCTCAATGATGAATGTGATCATTATGCATATCTAAAATGTACCAATAAAATCTGATTTTAAAAATGGCATAGAAATTGTGGAAGACAAAAAAAAGAAAAAGAAAAACAAGAGCAAAAAATAGAAAGCATTAATAATATGTAGATAATATATTGTCTAATCATACCAATAATCATTTTAAATGCTAATAGTTTAAATACACCAATTAAGATACTTTAAAAATGTCAGAAAGAATAAAAAATTCCCAACTATATGTTACCTGTAAGAATTCCCTTT